CTTTGCTGTTGTTTGACAGGTTTGGCATCCGGCTTGATATCGAGGCGGTGCATTGCCACATTGGGGTCGAGCCTGGGTATATCTTCATAGTTCCATGCGAAGACGTCAATATATTCCCTGATGAGAGCAATTAATTCCTCTTTCTCATTTGGGGGAAGACTATCGCTGATGAATATAGGCTTTGGGTTGGCCTCATCACCCATGTTAACTTGGACTATTTTATCTTCAGTGGGGGTTTCCCTCTGTTCGAACCTATCACCATACTGCATGTTCAGGTGATGAACCCACGGGTCTTCCCATGTTGGCATTTGATCATCATCTTCCATTGTGGATGGATCAGCTGTAGTCATGTTCGCCATTAGGGTTTTGAAAGCTTCCCCCAGACTTGTATCGGAATCCTATTCCAAGGCATCTGACGAATTTCCATCTTTGTATTTCTTAGATGATTGGTTATTGATTAACCAGCAACATTCATCTTCTGAAGAAGATTCATACCCTAACCCTCGTCCGTATTTATAATAATCATCGGGTTTCCCTTTTGGTACATATGCCGCTTTGGCTGGAGTACGAGGACCTCGATCGAAGTATAGACCTTCTCCGAGTGTGAAATCATACCCCTGCTTTTCCATGAGCTTGCGCGCTTCCGGACTATACTTAGATAAATGCCGACCAGGTTTGTCGTCATCCTCATCTTCCCTTAAGAAATGATCTGGTAAGGGAGAGATTTTTCCTTTACCGTAAATCACTTCTTTTGCGCCTCTTATTTTGTTCGAATGACCATGGTTGTTCCGAAAGAATGCTGGAGGCCTTCCTTTGTTATATATGACGATCGAAGCGGCATATATAAATCAGGATTATCATACAATTCTTTTATCACATCATCAAGAGACAGGGAGTACTCTAAATCGTTATTTATTTCATTATTGGCAAGTTGCCAGTTACAACTGCCCTCTGACGATTGTTCATCGTCAAGGTTGATTACCAAGGGTACAATGTCGTTTAAAACATAACCTCCATTGTAATCAAATCCGGCTTCGGTATCAGCTTCTTCTCCGCTGTCCGTGCCATGGGCCGATGATTCAGTATCGGATTCATTACCATAAAGGAGAGAATCAGTGAAATAATTCTCATACCCTTTGAATGGTTTCTTATCCGCGACCACCGTCCTAACTTTATTATCAGCATCAACATATTTCAAACACTGATGGAGAGTGGAGGGGATTATAACGTTACTATGGATCCAAGGCCGACCCAATAGTAAGTTATATGAAGTTTCGGCATCGATCACATAACATGTGACTTCTGTCTTCAAATCTCCCATTTGACACTTTATCCGGATTTTACCTAAAGGTCTTGACCCGCTGGTATTGAACCCGTAGATAACAGTGCCTGTGGACGCCAACTTACCCGAGGAAATGCATCAAACGAAGCGGCATAATACTCACAGCAGAACCCGAATCCACTTGGATTCGGTTGACTTTGCTGGAGACAATGTACCCGATGAAGTATAGCGGTCGATCGTGGTTTGAATTCTTCGTCTGCATATCCTCTTTGGTAAAAGTAATGCAGGGAAGGTTCTTAGTTGCTATATTGCAGTGTTGACTCAGCGGTTCTGGCTCTTCAGGCACCGGCTTAATTTGAGTCAGAAACACCTCTGAATTGGCCAAAGCTTCTTGCAAGGCCTCCCTGGTTTCCTTGGACAACCGCAGCAACTCATACAGTGTTATCCGTGCTGGAATGTTGGCTAGTTGAGCTATTATATCGAAGACTTGCGGAGTCTTCGAGCTTTCCGGTTTGTCTCTTCCAATCGGGCGACTGAAACGAGATTGCTTTGGATTCTGAACCTCCTAGGGATTCTTCTCTTTCGGTTTATTCACCGGCTATCGTCGAGCCTCTTCGCCCGATGTAGGACTCGTAATCACCCCCATCTCTGTGAGAGTTTTGGCTGGTCCCCGTTTATTCACCCCCTGCTCACTAGGTGGCGGATAATTATAGTGATACTCATTTCCGCTTCTAGTGGCGAAGACTTCTTGTTCTTCTTCGGAGAGCGGGAAAGTAGGAACTTCATCGCCATCCTCCTCGAAGATTGCGGATGTAGCATTGCAGGACTTGCCTTTGCCCTTTCTTCTCGAGGAACTCGCCTACTGTTCGTCTTCAATGAGATCGGGATGAACCCAGAGGATTTCGCCGTTTGGGGCTGTGTGTGGCACAAGTCCTTTTTGGCGCTGTCCATGTGGGTCATCGTTCACTGTCTTCATTCCTACTTTGGTGATGCGCTCTGGTTTGAACCATGTTTTGGGCACCGATCCAAAGCTGATTGACACTGCGTTCGTTCTGACATTCTTGGACGGCTTCGGGGTTATGACGCCTACATTAATTAGCGCCTAGATCTTGTCCTTGAGGTGGTAGCACGACTTGGTAGGGTGATGGACCGCTCTATGGTATGCGCAATACTTCGGATCCGTCACTTTGCTAGCCCCTTCTTGATCCACGATCGCTGGCAGCTGGATTTTGTTATTCTCCAATAGGTACTTAAAGATGCCGGGAACCTCGTCATCTTTGAAGGAATACACTTTAGGAAACCTCGGCTCCGAAGATTTCTGCTTCTGAGGCCGTTGTTGCCATTGCCCCCGAGATTGTTGTGGCGCTTGTTGCTGTGGCTGTTGCTGAGGTTGCAATTGGAAAGTTTGATTAGCATCAACTGCATTAGCATGTGCCTTACATTTCCCCCATGGGACGAAATTCTGTTGTGGAGCATTCGTCGCTTGTTGGCCTCTCTCCGCCTTCTTCCTTCTGATGAATCACTCAACTTGCTCTCCTCGGACCTTCAGATCCTTTGCTGTCCCCATTGCTTCCAACACGTCCAATGCGAGGTTGTTGTGGCAAGTCTGGAGAATAAACTCCTCAGTGATCGGGTCCCGATAGTTCATTGCCTTGTTCCGGAACCTTTTGACAAAGGTGTCAACCAATTCCCCGTCTTTCTGTTTCTCGTCAAGTAACGACCCGATGGATATCTCAGTGTCATCATCGAAGAAGTTGGTGAGGAACTTAGTCTCCATGTCATCCCAGTTGTTCATGCTTCCTGGCTTGAGGCGGCGATACCAGTCGAAGGCGGCTCCACGAAGAGTGCCAACGAAGGATCGTACCATGAGAGGCTCATTACCAGAGATAACCCCCAGGTGCGATTTAAAGTAAATCAAATGCTGAGTAGGTGAACCCATCCCATTAAACGGCGTGAAGTTAATTAGATTGAACTTCGTCGGATATGGGATTGATTCCCATTCTCTTGGGTATGGACAAGGAATGCCTGTTTTATTCATCTCTTGAGCGGAAATCAATGTATTGATTTTGCTCTCGAGGTTTTTGATCTTCAATTTTTCACCTGTGTTTTCACTAGCATTCTCATTACCACCCCCTGCATTGACGGGAGGATTATTGGCATTATGAGTCTCGTTTGCATTTGTGTCCTCATCTTCCAGATTAACCTGGTTACGACGACTTGGCTCGCCTTGTTGGTTCGTCAATGCTTGGATTTGTTGGTCATGCATTTCTCTCATGTTCTGCATGGCCATCTGCATTTCGAACCTGAAGGTCTCCTGTTGTTTAGCCATGGCCTCTTCAAGCATCTTGGCCACTTATTCCGCACTTATCATAAGTGCCTCGCGGGGTTGTCCCTCGCTGGATACCATATTATCTGATGCAACCGCGGAGCCGGCATCAGATTCTTCATCTTCTGAAGGGAGTCTTGTCCGAACCCTACCATAGGTTGCTCGCTTGATGGTTCCGGACTGCAGACGGGTTATAGGCCGGGATGCTTTCAGAATCGACTCGAGATTATCCCGTGCCGATGTCCCCTTGCTGGTCATATTGGTGGTGACACTCGGAAATTCTCCATCTTCAACCACCGTTCTTCTTCGTCGAAAACGCCTAGGCCTTG